TCCAGTGTAAAGAGTAACACAGAATTGTTTATATAACTTATTGACAACAGATTACTTTATCCAGCAATAAAACATCAAATGACACGAATAAATGCCAACCAAATTTGTTATTTCTATATAAATCTGAAGGAGACTATTGCTACATATAATTTAGTTTGTAGAACACCAACTTGGTAAAGTACTCTTCTCTACGCTTTACATTTAACTCAGCTTAACTTTTAAAGTACAATTTAGAATCCATATGTATGGTGACAATAATCAAAGGTCTGCATGGGTTAGTAGTACTAGCAAAAATCAAAGGAGAGCCTTAAATCTCTTACACATTTAGGAGGCAGTGTTAATGATCAGAAATAGACTTAGTCAAAGCAAAAGATATAAGTCACATCTTCAAATGACAGTGTGGCCCTTTTATGTCAGATACAAAAAAAAAGAGAGAGCATTTATTGGTTACCATGCCAGTAAACCTAAATAAACTTTCATAAACTTTTACTTAATACTTAGACAAGGCTTTTGTTTAACACTTACACAAGGCTCAGATAGATATAGTTCTCAGACGTATACATATATCTAGTCACATATATTTAGGGTGTCAAATATATTGTCATAACCTAAAATAATATTTATTTATTTAACCAGTTACAAAGTAATCACTTAAGACTTTAAAATAGGTACAAACCCTAATTCCTTTAAGATTTAGTTTCCCCAAGTAATAAAACCTAACAAATACAAGAAAATTATCTTGATAGATAAGAGCATATCATGTTTCAGGCTGTGCTTCATGTCAGTGCATTAAAGTTCAAATAAATTTGAATGACTGATAATTACAGCCAATTTAATCAGAAACACACACTTTTTGAGATTTACCTTTAGCAAATCTTCTGCAGCTTACTTAGACATTCACAATTTGTTTACATCCTTAATTTTGTCCTCTTTTATCTTGGACTTTAGCACGAGAATATTTCTTAATCAGACAAAACTCTCTCTCATCCAGAAACATTTCTTTCACCTTCTAATTTTCTGTACTAAAATATATTTCCATACCTATAATTTTCTTTTATCTTTTCTAGTTTGGTACCCTTTCTTAAATTCACATTCTGAAACAGTATTTATGAATGTTATCTGTGCATTTAATTTACCCAACAAATTTCATCTCAGAAGACAGACAATCCAGCATACACAAAAACTGTGCTTTAATCTTTTTTCTCCCAGGTTGCATTTAAGGGGTTGGAGCACAGGATATTTTTGAGCCTGAACTGTCTCTCTTATTATTATCACAATGCCATCAACTTTAAGTGACTACCCCACTGTCAATTGTACACAGAGGCTCCTTTGGGGCCTTTTTCTTATGCATATTGATATGCAGTGGAGGAGGCCCTTTCCATCCTTTTCTTTAGGCTTCCTTGAGGATCCCTTTGCAGAGGCTGCCAACACACACACAAGTTGGCCTTAGTTGCTGTCTTTTTCTTTTCTAGGTGCAGTTATTTACCCTGCCAGTCTCCCCATGCAATCAGTTTGATGGGATACTCTTCGAGCAAGAATTGTTTTTCCTCAGTGATAAATATCCTCTAGCCAAATGGGGTGTCCTGTCAGATGTTAAAAGGGGAGACTATTCCTGTCCCCAGGTGATAAACTGATAGTGATGGAACCTACTGCCACATCCATTGTGGTCAGCAGCTTACATCCAGTCGGGGCAAAAGGGGCTGGAAGGCAGGGTAGTGGACAGGTTCTCTTTGGCCAATTTTTTCTGCAACCCAGGCTCTTTTTAGGGCTGGTGTCATTGACCCACAGTGAGATGATCTTTAGCTGCCTGGGGTCAGGCTGATACAGTGCTGGCAGTGCCAGTAGTGGGTTTAAAAATTTAAATCTTTTCTAGCCCTCTCTTCTGGCATCCTGTTATCCTTGGACACAAGAGGCTGTGCCTTTTGGCAACTTCAAATTAGTTCCTGACTGTTCAGGCCCCATATCATGCAACTGCATAAATGCCTATACATACAGAATCTCTTTCATATGCTTTACCCCTGATAGACAAACTTCAACTTCAGAATTGTATAATAATCCAGAATAACCATTCAAAGACCAGATTGTGTTACAGTAAACCATCTTTCTTTTAGACAGGCTTATGCCTATAGGTGGCTCATTCAGCCAAGATCTATGTGCTCAAGAGACTACTGGTAAGATTAACCCAGTCTGGCACATATCTTAAAGGGCCAGTAACATACAAAAACACAGACAAAAGAGAGCCTCACCCAAATCAGAGCTGAGAGATGGGAAAATTTAAAACAGGAAGACCTGCATATACAAATTTCTTCTACTTTCTTTACCTTTGAGAGATCAACTCCAACTGTAAGATTGTATAATAATCCAGAAAGCTACTCAAAAGCCATATTGTTACAATAAAACATTCTTAGACAGGTTTATAGCTATACATGGCCCTTTCTTTAACTTACTTTACCTCTGACAGACAAACTCCACATGCAAGATTGTACAAACAACAATAACAACAACAACATCAGAGAGAGGCAACCAGAGAGGAGCTCAAAACCATGGCTGACAAATGAGAACCTTTAAATTGACCAGCCAAGATCTTTCCCAAATCAGAGTCTCACTTAACCATGACTCCTACACCAGTGGTGCCACAGATGTCCCCACAAAGAGGGACCAGATGTTCCCACAGAGAGGAACCAGATGTGTAGAATCAAGGTTCTTGGTGTGCACACCGGGGGACTTACCAGATGGCCAAAGGTGTCGTGACTTTACTGAGTTCAATTTCCTTTTTCTCAAAGGGGGCCTCAGTGAGGAATCTCTACCATTTAGGGAGAGATGGCAGGAGTTCCCCAAAGCAAACAGAGCTTGGGCAGCTGCTGTGATGGTCCGTCAGTCCCTCCCTTTACTCACAGGAATAGCTCCTCTGGTTTGATTGGGGGCAAACTCACCTGTCTCTCCTGACTCCTGTATTCAGCTCTCAACATGTTTTCCATCACCATGAATCCTCAGAATGGAAACAGGATTCCTTAGAGAGCCAGGCTTGCCCAAGAAAGCTGGAGTGGGGGCTGCTCTTGCGTCCCATCTGGGGTGCCAAATTTGTTACAGAAAGCGCAGTCCTTGTCCTCAATGCCAATTCAGTAACAAGAACATGGTTTTGAGTAAAAGGAAAAAGATGATTTATTGCTTTGCTAGAAAAGGAGAAACACAGAGGCCTCCTGTCCCAGAGGCTGTGGTTCTTAATTCCAGATATATTTGACTTGTAATCTGGGATCTCATCATTAAACTGGAACCCCCTTATTATTAAATTGCAAACATTTGTTTCATCCATATAATGTCTTCATGCTCGGTTCCACGGTTAAGTAGAAAAGCATTAATGAGGTCTGATATAATTTGTTGTTAGTAGAGTTTCCCCTTATTCTCATCCTGTAACACACTTCTCTCAATGGTAAACCACCTTAGAAACTTCCAAAAATATGACCTAAAAATAAATTCAATCATCTTAAAATATTAAGTAGATTTAGTTTACATGTTTCTTTTCAATTTTCCTCTGAGAAAGCTGATGAAACTTCTTGACTATGAAAAGATAAATACATAATTTGACTGCTTTTACCAGTAGCTTATTAGCAGGTCACAAAGTAGTAATTTAATCATACAGCACATCATTAAAGAGTTAGCTTACCCTTTCATACACCAATCTTTTAAATGTGGTCAATAGGATTCCAGAGTCTATAAGCTATCTTTTGGGGTTCTCAGAAAGCATAGTGTTAATAGAAATGTGTTGTTCAGTTTATCTGGGCACAGGGTGGGGATCTAATTTATGAAAAAAAAAAGACATTAGAATTCACAAGCTCAAACCCTGAAAATTACTCAATTGAGGAATCAAAATTATAGCTTCCAGGCACAATATATCTACCATGACCTAAATTTCTTAAATAGGCTTTTATTTCACTGACTTGTAAAATCCATCTGACATACTATGGTTCTCAATTAGCTAAGGTAACTGTATATTTGTAAGAATGATTTTCATTAGTTCTTTCTTTGGAGTTTACCAACTCACTCAATTCCACCCTTACCCTAAGAGTAAATTCTTTTAACCTTGTTCCTACTTCAAGATATAAATTAATCTTTTAACCTCCCTTCCTGCCATACTCCTTAGTAACATGGTCTGTGTTTATTGTCTTCACCTCGAAATCACTATCTGCCTCACTATAACTTAGGTCCTACCACCAGTGCTCTTTTGATGTTGATCTGACAGAAGCATATGAACGCTCAAAATAAAGGCCATTTCTGTCCTGCATTCCATTAGAGTTTTCCATGGTAAAGGAATTGGAGGAATATGTCTTCGACAATGAACTCAGAAAGAAATGTGTTTGTATCATGGATCCTCTAGCATTCACTGGCCTAGGGAAAGACTTGTGATTCTTACGAGTATCTGGTTTCTTATCTGTAAAATGAGAAAACTATTGTCAACACCGAAGGATAATAAACTTTGGCATGTGAGTGATTCTAAACCATGCAGGACACTTCCCATAAGACTTGGACTCCCTCCAGCAACACTTTCAACAACAGGATCTTCTTGAGGATGAAATCTTTGCTCTCATTTCTTCTTCCACAGGCAAATTCTATGGCCAACCTCTATAAGTATCCCTTACATATAATTCCATTTTTCTCCTTTGCTTCACTGTACTTGTGTGATACAGCTACAATCCCGAATAAATTCAAATCTTTGTTTTTCCTCTACCTGCGCCTGCAGAGCAGAACAAAACTGTAGCACATACCACAAGTATGCACTAAGCTCAGGTGGGCTCAGAGGGCAACCTAGACATCACTGTGGGTGTCACTACCATATCTTTTCACTCTGCTAGTATCAAATCCCTAACATTTCCCCTGTTTTCAGTCTCATTGACTCCTAATCCTCGAGAAACTAGAAGATAAAAGAGAATTCCTACAAGTTCCTTTGAGCATATGTCCTCACTCCCCAGTGTCAGTACTCAGGATCCTCTATTTGCTTGTCTGACACTGGCATGGAACTGTGTATGCTCATTGTTGAGGCTGCCACTGGAACACTACACTCTCTGACCCTGCAATTCTCTGTGTTCTCTCTCTTTCTCTCTCTCTCTCTCTTTCATTTGTGTGCATCAGCAGTTTTTAATTCTAGATCTTCCTCATTAACACACAAATATGCTGGGCTTTTATGTATCCTCTTACGCAAGAAAACAAACTGCTCTTTACCTAAATTCTCTCTTGCAGGGCTGCTCCTGTTCTCTCTTCTGTCACAGTAGAATGCCTTGAAAAGATTATTCATGCATTCTGTATCTCACCTCTTTTCTTGCATTCTCTCCAACCCATCGTATTCAAGTTTTTGCACCCATGACTCCATCAAAAATACTGTCATGATCACCAATGAGCTCTACATTAATAAATCAATTGATAAACTCTCAGTCCTCATCTTTCTTGTCCCATAAGCAGATTTGACGTAGTCAGCTATTCCCTTCTTCTCGACACATTTTTTTTTTT